ATCCTCCAAATATCTGGCAACTATTGTCAAATCACGCACAGTTAAATAGATTGAAAAATTGTTGAAATTAATAAGCTAAGTAATCATATGATTGACGGAAATTCTGAAAATTACATGATTTTACAATTAAAGTATAATAATTTAAAACCAGAACAGAACCAAAATTGTGGAAGTTTAATACTAGGAGTCAAAACAAGAAACTTGGCTCCGACTAGTGGGGCAAACCGCCAACCACATTTCCCAGAGTCGACATATTTACATCCTTATAAATTGGGCCGTGTAACTTGTAACCGATGAAAAGTCATGCACGTCTGAAACTGGTCAGATACGAATGTGAAACTGGACTGAAACTGCCCCGTTTATCATTATTTATTTGTCCATAAGAGTCTCTCCAAGTTTGCAACATGCTCAGCCATAATGCTAGTCGTAGTTCTCCAAAGATGGTTATATGAGGCCTTTGAGTTGGTATTAGATCTAATAAATACATTTTACAAGCAACAAGTTTAAATTGGGAATTTACTGGGCATTCTAATTTAAATTGTTCGAAACTCTCATATTTAAAGAACTTGTGGTCCCACCATGCTCAGTCTTTGCTGTCTATATAAAGGGATCAGTCTACCATCGCTTATATAAGCACCACTAACAAGAGAGATATAGTGAGAAAGGTAGCATTTCCTTAAACTACACTTGGTTTTTGAGGAGGAAGAGGACATATACTTGTATTTTTTTGGGCAGCAAGACGAATCATTTAATTTGTCCACATAAACTTGTATTAGTTATTAGTTAAGGAAGATGACCGGGAACATGGCTCACCTCACTCTTGCATTTGGCCTTCTTTGTATATAGCCCTTTCAATTGCTCTCTTCACTCTTTGTTTCCTTCACCTCCCCACGCATCTATATTTTATTTGATGATTCTGTTGCTAACAATTTGCTTTCTTATATTTGCAGGTAATATCGTCTCATTTTTGGTATTTCTTGCACCAATATAAGTCTCCGATGCTTTTTCTAATATGTTTTTAACCTCTCGTCCCCTTCCTTCTATACTACAAGCCATTCATGAATTAATTTTCAACAAAAATGTAGACCAACATTTTGCGGTGACAAGATGAATGAAACATATCTATTTTCTGGATAGGAAGAGTTTGCATTCTATGCCATTTACCCTTTAAGAAAACTCAGTCATGATTCATCATTCCTAACATCTCTAAAAACCCGTTTAGTTTTGTGGAATCATGTGCCTTGGTGATAACATCGGCAATTTCTTCATGTGTAGGAACAAAATTAAGTTCAATGTTACCTTTAAGAATATAATCCTTAATGAAGTGATACCGCAAGTCAATGTGATTCGTCTTGGATGGCTGAATAGGATTTTGCGAATTGCAATGGCACTCTCGGAATCACAGTATCCAATGCGAAGCATTCTACAGCCCTAATCCATGAGTTATGCTTTCAGCCGTACACTACTAGAAAAACAGCCTTTTACGACGTGCAATGCGTGTCGTAAAACGCTCAGACGACGCGCAAATGCGTGTCAAGGAAGGCAATGTCATAACGAGAGATGACACGCTTTTGCGCGTCGTCTATTTACGACGCGCATTTATGACACGCAGTTATGACACGCAATGCGTATCAAGGAAGGCTCTGTCATAAAGGAAGACGACACGCATTTGCGTGTCGTAACCTTACGACGCCCGTGTTTATGACACACAATGCGTATCAAGAAAGCCCTGCCATAAATGAAGATGACACGCATTTGGTTGTCATAAACTTCAGTAACCATTTACGATATGCATTTACGACGCGTCTTTATGATACTCATTTACGCATAATACAAAAATATGTAAACAAATATATACCAAAACAATCAATTTCATCCGATAACATCATGTCAAAAAATTGTAATACATTGATATTAAGGGGATCTAATTGTACATTGTTATTAAGAGGTTTTGCCTAACTATATAACTTAATACTACATTGCTATTAAGGGACACCTTCTACAATGTAATGCTATACAAACTAAAAAGATATACACAAAGATGATAAACATCAAATTCCAACTAAGTAGAGTTGCATCTTGCCTTTCATAATTCTTTAAGACTAATGAACCCCTACTCCGATAATTCTTGTGACCTGATCAAATAAAAGTCAAAAAATTAATATGCTAATATAATTATTAGAAGAATCAAACATGGAATGTTAGTTGTAAAAGACAAAATTAATATGCTAATATAACTAAGTGGGAGAATTGGATATTAATAAAGACTCACCTCACACCAACATCATGAGTGCAGTCCCAGGAGGGGTTCTTGATTCCCAAGCAAACTCGGATATAGCATAATTTGCATTTTCACCAAGGAACCACACCTGAAAGTAAACTTATTCATCAAACCCACCGAGAAACATTTACATAATCAAACTCACTCGGTAGAAATATGATCTGGTACTTACTGCTGCTTGGACAAGCCTCTGTAGAGTCAAAGCTGATTTTAGATCAAATGCAGATACCCTATCGATTGATGTAATCCGAGCCAGGTTGTAGAGGTGTCAGATCAAGAACTATTGTTACGACTTCAAGAGTTGTATGTTTACCTTCAGGACCAGCTCCTACCAGGCAACTCTTACATCAACTTCTACAGTCTACAAAAGAGTTTTTGCCCACACATCATCATAACTCATTGAAGGTCTTGAAACAATGTTCTCGTCATCTAAAATGCTTGCTACTTTTTATTCATGGGGAAATCTCCAGAAAAATCCTAAAATTTTGGATCAGTTTATGATTTAGTCCTAAATTAAACTTCGTTAATGAAAAAGGACAGAAAACTGGCTATTGTATTCACTTTTATCCCTTTTTACCATTTTAGCAGGTTACTTGCTGAGGTGGCTTGCCAATTGCACTGTTGGGCTGACGTGGCATCTGAGGAGGCTGGCCTTTCATTTACAAAGTAAAAAAATTGGACTTTTTGGGGAAAAGACGGTAAGGGGAATCGAACCCTTGACTACCCACTCACAAACCACGCCTTACCATGTGAACTAGAAACATTTATTGATATTGTTTCTTTAGCGTATTTATAAAGTCTTAAGAAATTATTTTTAAATGGCCTGCAATATTCCCCTCTAACCTTTCTTCTTCCCTCAGTCTTTCTCCAAGATCCTATTCTTTAATCTCAACTCTGTACTCAACTCCGACGACAAATCCGGCAACCACCACCACATCTTCACCATCGGAAAATTTGTTTTGTTTTAAAGGTCGACTACCTGACCACCACTAACCATTAACATCAAACCTTAAACTCATAAAAAAAAAGAATGCAGATGGCGTCGATGGAGGCGGAGAAAGAATGCAAATGTCGTCATTTTAGCATAACTTGAACTGAATCACTCATCATAAACAACCCAGACTCAATAGCACCATTACAAACCCTGTTTCCCTCTCTACCTCGAAAATCAATCTCACTCTCATTAACCCTCACCTTAGAAATAAGATTTACAGATTCAGGTGTTGAAATTCTAGGTTTGAATCACTTAATTTGTTGCTTTGCGACGCATATGTGATTGTTTGAACAATGGAGGAGGTTATATGTCGGCTGTCTCTCTCAAGGTTGTAAATGAATTAGGCTTTTAATGGGTTAGATTAGAGATGATAAAAGGAGGATACCAGATTCAATGTGTCGTTAATGGGGTCATAGGGGTATTAAGATTTATAAATATATTTGAAGAACTAATGTCAATAGGTGTGTCTTGGCTTGGTGGTTAATGCTTTGTTTTTCGTATTCAACGTTGCGAGTTCGATCCTCGCTGAAGCCTTTTGTTCCAATGTGCCTGGATTTTTCAGTTAAACATAAGAAGCTGACGTGGAATGCAAAGTCAGCTGCCACATCAGCATTTATTGCCAAGTCGGATGTCAACTCAGCAATTACCGGCTCAATAGGTAAAAAAGGGTCAAACTGATTATATTAGCCGGTACTCTGTCCTTTTTCGTTAACAAAAATTAATTTGGGACTAATTCATAAACTGGGCCAAAACTTTGGGACTTATTCGGAGATTTCCCTTTATTCATGTCTTATATAATAACTCTATTTATTCGGTGTATAAGGTTGTGGGAATGACATACTTATGTCCGTTACTTTGAATCAACACCATAAAATAATTACAAAAATACACCTCCCAATTACAACATTGATTCCGATAAAAGTGAGTGAGAAATCAAATTAAGAATTCTTACTTCTGTTTTTTCACATAAGATGAGCTTCTCTTCATCAACATCGATACTAAATGTAAGATCTAAAATATCATTGATATTATTCTGCACATGAGTTTTCAAATATGTAAGTAAAAAAAATGGATTTTTATTAGTAGGAGAAAATGGGTTGACTCAATGAGACTCACCTCAAGCATCCACTTAAAGTTTTTGAAGTAACCTGGATCGATAGCTTCAATGTCATGATAGGTTACTTTTACTCCAAGCATATGCTTATAGAAAGATTTTTTGAAATGAACATCAAGCAACTGACCATCAAAAACTGCTTTCCCAACCTACAAATAAAAACAATCACACTAACATTCTCTGTATCCGAATGAATAATATAAACTCATGAATTTTCACTTACAACTCTTCCAATGAATATGAAGTATGAGAGATGTTTTGTCTGATAAACAGAATTTGGATTTGGTTGAAACATTGACTCATTACCAACAGAATTTGTGCTATCCTGTATTGACATGTGAATAAGTAGGTTACTTGGTTCCTTAAATTTTCACAGAAACCATAATGAACAAATTACACATAATAAAGAAGGTAAAGGTTATGTCTATATGATTACCTGAGGATATGTAACATCAGAAAAAATAAAATTGACATGCTCATATGTAAGTCCTTCAAAGAAATCCATTAAGCTTCCACTCAAACTATGGAGGATGTTGAATTCAGTTTGTAGATGCGAGTTCATTCATGAATTCCCCTTTATTTAAGAAGATTGTTCTTTAAACAAATTGAAATCAAATTTTCAAGCATTCTTCAATGAGTATACAGTATATTAGCAGATCAACAGGAGTAAATGCAAATCCTACAAAAGAAACATTGTCCCTGAGTTGAATTTCTTTGAAATCATATCTAAAAGAAGATAATTGAATTTCTTTGAAAATTAAACTAAAAAACACTTTAGCAATTTAATTACCTATGGGCATGATAAATCCACCCAGCAAGAATACCACAAGCAGGGCAGCTGAACCGAAAGTATTGGCAATGATCACATTTCTTGCAACTGCAGCCAATGTACGAAAGAGACTTAAAGCCATCTGGTGCACTGAAAACAGAACAAACACGTAACGGAAAAACCTGAGAAAAAGTCAAGTAATTAAGTCATAAGAGCATGTCAGGAGTTATAAGAGGAAATAAATAGGGCATACCTTCCTACGCTAGCGGAAAAGCCAACACTGTAATACACAATAATAGACCATACAACGACTTCAACATCAGAGTAGGGAACACGGAGAATCCAACTAGAAACAGACCAAGCCCATCAAGGATAGAAATTATTGTCCCTTTGCTTGTAAAATACGGGTAGTCGGAATATCATGAAGGGAACCCTACCTTTTATTAACCATTAAGAGGTTGGAATTACTAAACACTAAATGGTTCAGTTTTATGGAAATCATCTTTGGGTTAACACTCTGTGGTACCAGTACCACCATCATCAGTAGCAGCTTCATCCATGGCTGGATTTCCCTCTACTTCTTCTGTTGCAACAGTGGGTTCATCTGGTGGTCTATCTTCTTCATTAACTTTAGCCTTCTGTAATAAGCTCCAGTATATAATGCTTGCTGTTAGGATCAAAATCATCTTTGGGTTAACCTGTCAACAATTTAAATTAGTATTTGATGATGATGATGATGATGATGATGACACAACTAGTAAAGTTGTAATACAAAAGGACTCAATAGCAGTATTAAAATGATGTTACCTCAAGAATATCTTCAGGCAATAAGAAGATAGAACACCCCAGTTTTCTTGCAACACTAATTATATACGTTGCGTTTAACTTCTTATCCTCCTCTGTAATAAATCCAAACAAAAAAAATGTTTATTTTCTCAAATTATTGCATCAATGGAATGAAGTTGTGAAAGTTTAAAAATTACCGGTCTCGCCCTTGGTAACAAGACCCCAGTTTACCACCCTCTTTTCCACTGCACTAAGAAGCTCAAGAAAGAAAATACCATCTGATAGGCGTTTATCCTGAATAATTGCAAAGTTTATAGTTAATTAATATGATGAAATGGAATTAGAAAAAAAAAAGAATGGAGTTAACAATATAATAGAATGTGCATGGTGATGAAATGGATCATTACGGTTGAAATTACCTTCAGTTATTTTTAGAAACTAAAAAACTTTTGATTTTTTTTTTCTAAAAAAAATAGGTTATTAAAGATAATATAAGTAAAAGAAATTTATAATGCTTCATTCCATTCCATTCCCTCTTTGATTAATGCATATCAAAACACTAGTAACTATTCATGGGTATCTTTGGCTTACCTTGAAGCTATCCATGTGTCCTGATTTCCCTGTATCTTTCACTTTCTTATTTGCCCATTGTAAAATATCAGCATCCATTATTTCCTTTCCTTGTCCATAAGTTCTTAAGTTTTTCAAGAGTTGAAGCATGCTAAATCTCATCAACTGCCATAAGAAAGCTCGGTGCATGCAATAATATCCAAACCTAATCACTAATTTCCTTCTTTTCTTCATTATACACAAGTATTTAAACATAACGCAAGAATAAAAAAAACACAAACCTATTATAAGCTTTTTGTTTCCTGCAACAATGTCATTCCCAGCAACATTCACAAGAGAAAAATTTAATTGCTTTCCAATGCTTACAACTTGATTGCAATTTTCAACCTTTCTAAACAGCATTTTAATTGGAGGTTTGTTTGCTAGCCTCCATGTAACAGACCCTGGTGCAAGTTTATCAAGAACTTCCAAAAGAACCCATCTATACATCAACACAAAAGAAAATGTTAAAAAAAAGTTAATTTTTCCAACAACATGCTAGACTCACAAATTAAGGTTAACTAAATAATTTTGGAGAGATGGTGGCCTCTCGATGGCATGCTTATTTTGTACTTTGTCTTTATTTTCATTAAATTCAACAGTATACGAATTTGATAGGAACCAAATGATATTTTACAACAAACAGGCAATGAGAAACAACATACAAAATCCATCTGCTTTAGAGAGACGGTCTTCACTCCCAGCAATGCCTAATTTAATTCAAAATCATTAATCAAATCAAGCATACCATCTATTCATTACTAATCACCTGTACATAGAGGTGTACCCAATTATGGTAATAACATAGTTGCTACTTAGCCCTAAGGGTTATAAATACAATTTGCAATATAACTTATTAATTATGGAAAAACTAAACTTAACATGCTTACCTAATTAACAACCTTTTAAATGTATGACTAATGACAGTATGAAACACACCCTTTTGAAGGACTAACAGCTTGGCTCTAATATTGGGCACACATGGGCATTTTTGTCTGCAAAAAAAGTCTCATAAGTTTTTAGGATAAAGATTGAACCTCACCCAAAATTGAATCATTTTCTTCAATTTCAATCAACGATTCCAACATAAAATTATGAAGATTGAATGATAACAACACAAAGTGTATTCAGATGCAATGTAATGAAGCTTGGACTATGGAATTATGAACCCTAACAAAATAAGCAACAAAATAGAGAAGTTATGAACCCTACCAACAAAAAGAAATGAAGTATGAAGCTTGAACTTTAAACTACAAAATGTAATCAGCAGCAATGGATTCTCTCCAGCCGAGAGAACAGGAGCAGGTGATGAGAGACGGAGATAGGGGATTATTTTGGTGACTTGACAATTAAGAAAAACAAAGGAACAATCATGGTTTCAATTGGGAAAATCGCAAGAAGATGATGAAATATGGAGTATAAGAATGTTACCTAGAAATTCTGAGGGTTTTTCAGAGATGACCGTTCAAGGAGGTGGTGGTGAGCAACAACATATATGGAAGTGGTGGTGAGCAACGACTGAGAGTCTGCCAGACTATCAGAAGTCATGAGAGGCCACGACTGAGTGACGTCTAACTATGATTTAGAACCCTAAATTGGAAACACAAAAGCCCCAAATCTTTACAGAAAAAATCAACAAAAGAGTTCACTACTAGAAAAACATAAATACAGTACGGTTGTTTACCAAAATAGAGTACGGGATAGCATCCCGTATTATGTTGTACTCACTAACATCCGACCTATGAATGCTTTGACGTCTTCCCTTAATAGCTGGTGTATGATGAGTCGAATAGAGTTCTTGTATGCCAAAACCCTAGATGGATGTGAGATTGAAGAAGAAAAGCGTACGTGAGGGAAGTGTTTTTGAAACTCTTGATGAAAATCACGATTATATGTAAGTGGGAAGTAAAAGCCCTAGTTTCTGGTCGCCATTTCGTGATCTTCAGGAATGAACGCGAATTTAAAAAAAATATATAGAACAATTATATGAGTTGTCGAGGTGTATAGCAGAGATGGTATCGTGATTAGGGTTTGCAGAAAGAAGGGAAGAAGAGAATGAAGGGAGATCTTGAAGCGGGGTATTTAAAAATTTTAGAATTTTAAGAGGATTTCATTTCCCCCTTTTAAGAACGGGCGTTTTGAGTAAAAATCACACGCACATTTTAGATAAAGTGCGATCCGTGTTTTTAATTTTTTTACATGAGACACTAATTTAAGGGCACGCAATAATACGTGACCTAAATCCTTAAATTTTTTGAAGAGATGACACTTTTTTAATGTCACTTTCTTTTGCGTAACATAAATCAATGAGTGTCATGGTTTGCGCGTCGTAAAAGGGTCTTTTTCTTATAGTGGTAGGACATGTCAACAGCAAGTGGTTGTCGCAATGTATTATGCCTCAGCAGTGGAGAGTGATACACAATTTTGTTTCTTGATGACCAACTCACTAATCTCCCACTGAGGAATTGGCATCCTCCTGAAGTGCTTTTGCGGTCCATTCTGTATCCCACATGGTCTAAGTATATAAAGGCTTGCAGACTGAAGTCGTTTCATAAAGGGAACCAAAGACTCAAGGCTTTGCTCCCTTTAAGGTATCTAAAAATCTGCTTGATTGCGGTCAGATGAGATACTTTGGGATCAACTTGGTATTTGGCACATAAACCCGTTACGAAGACAATATTCGGCCTACTTGCGGTCAAGTACAATAGAGAACCAATCATTTCTCGGTATACCTTTTGACCAACTGACTCTCCGGTGGGATCTACGGTGTTTTTGTAACTAAATGGCACATGGACCTTTGTCGAAGAACAATTATCCATTGAATATTTCTTTAACAATTCAGTGGTATACTTTTCTTGATGAATGAAGATTCCTTGTAAGACTTGCTTGATTTGAAGAACAAGAAAGAAATTAATCTCTCTATTCATGTTCATTTGGAATTTGCTTGTCATGAGTTTTGCAAAATCATCTATCGTCACTTAATCAGTTAAGCCGAAAATGATGTAATCCACATAGATTTTTACAAGAATTAGATGCTTTTCACTTGAACATCGAAAGAGGGTAGGATCGATGACCTCACCCCTGTATCCAGACTCAATAAGAAACGTACAAAGAGTTTCATATAAAGCCTTAGGTGCTTGCTTCAAGTCATAAATAGCTTTCTCCAATTTATAGCAGTAATATGGAAGATCAAGATTCTCAAAACCCGGAGGTTGCTATAAGTATACCTCTTCTTTCAGTTTACGATTGAGGAAAGCGCTCTTTACATCCATTTGATGTACTTTGATATTTTTATGGCGTCACCGGATGTTTCCCGGATCCATATTATTTATTATTCATACTCTACTTCAGGAAATTTCATATTTTAGGAGCAAGTTATTCTTTTGAAGATTTTTATGCATATTATGATGCGAGAACTAGAGATGTTTCAGATTGTTGAAGCTGAAGAGTGATTTGATTATGTGATCTTCAGTTGGATCCTATTGTCTAACGTCCCAATTTCCAGAATAATCTTTTCAATTTTAAAATAGAACAAACAACCATTTTTAAGAAAATTACATTCACATCAAATCATTTGTTCACAAACCATTATTCAGAAATTAGAGTGAATAAAAGACAACGCAAAATATCAAATCCTAAAACTGTTGATGTTTGTATAGAATCCCGCCTTCTCAATCCGATAAGTACCTGGAAAATATTTAATCCACAACTGTAAGCACAAAGCTTAGTCACTTCCCCAAAATATCTCATACAACACAATATAAATAGACAGTTATGGGTTATTAGAAAACCATGGGGACTATCAGCAATCCCAAAGGGCTAACAACACGTCGGCTGGATTAATAGCATCTCCAATGGGCTAACAGCATGCCCTATGGGTTATCAGCAACCATGAGTAGGGGTGTTCAAAACCGGATATCCGAAAATTCGGATATCCGAAAATTCGGATAGTTGATTTTTGATATCCGAATTCGTATCCGAAATTTCGGATACGGATTCGGATATTAAACCGGATATCCAAATTTCATTAGTTTTAAATAAAGAAAATAAACCCTCCAAGAAAAAGAACGTTTCCGTGCATTTGTTAGGTATAATAAGACTTCATTTGGTCCGGTTAAATGCAAGTTACCTCATGATACCTGAAGATTTTGAGAAATCAAACTCAAATTACTAAAATCAACATAAAAAAGGTAACATTTATACCATCCTCACTATGCGTACCAAGTAAAAATGTTAATAATTTGTTTTTTTGAATTTCAAATGAAAAAACTCAATGCATTAAAATTATTTTTAATAATTTTTTATATTATATATTTCGGATTTCGGATATCCGAAATATCCGAAATTTTCACATTTTAATATCCGAATCCGAATCCGAAAAACCGGATATCCGAATTTCGGGTATCCGAATTTTCGGATATCCGATTTTTCGGGTATTTTCAGATCGGATTTTCGGATTTTTCGGATCGGATGTTCGGATGCGGATATTTTTGACCACCCCTAACCATGAGGACTATCAGCAGTCCTAGTGGGCTAACAGCACGCCCGGTGGGTTATCAGCAACCCTGTGGACTATCAGCAGTCCTAATGGGCTAACAGCACGCCCTACAGTTATTAGCAACTCCGTAACATATATAGCAACAAACAACATATAGAGACCTAGTTGGTCAGCATGTAAATACTACCACATAGGCAAGTATAGTGAGGAGACTCACGTGAATGAATAGATGAAATCCCTGCTCATAGCTCCACAGAATCAGCTACACGAACCTCCTAATACCGGTTAAAGAGATGAAATCCCTACTCATGGCCTCCCATTTGCTACATCATGGAATAAAGGTGAAAAAATAGACGAGTATCCCCCAGTCGCCACGCCGTGGCGGCCAAAATGCCATGTCGTGGGAACCGGGTCTCAACAGCTTAATGGATTAAGTTGTTTTCCATCAACCTCAAGAGCTCAAAAGCTTAGATCTAGTCTTTCCCAAGGTCTTGATGGATAAAATTTCCAACTTTACCCATCCTTAATGACAACTTAAGGTGTGAACTCAACCATTAAGCTCTCAATCACCAAACCCACAAATCCATAACTTCTAGAAGGCTTTCTTACTTCTATTACAACATAAAAGTTGTAGATTTATGAACATGCATGCCCAATGCAAGTCTAGAACTCAAAATATGTCAAAATGGCGAAATAAGACCAAAATCTCATGCATAGAACTCAATACAGAATCAAACTTCAGATCCAAAAGATATAGTGACCAAGGGACCAAGGTGAGATATAAATTTGCAAACTTTATCTCATTAAACCAACCCAAACTTGAATACGAGCTGAAAAATGCAATAAATCTTAGATCTATGAAGAGAGAACCAAAAAGGTGGAAGCTTTATACATTCGGAAGCTCCACAAGATGCATGAGGTGCAAGATCTGGAGTGATGCACTCTTCAAACTAACAAGCACACCTCTCTTTCTACCAAAATGAAATCCAAAGCTTCAAACCTCGAGAATTACTATTAATACAACAAGAATCACTCCAAGTAGGCTAGGGTAACGTTTGAAAGGGTTGGAGGCTGGAAAGGATGCCCTAACCCTTGAGATTAGGTGCTTAAATATGGAGAAAAAACTAAAAGTTATAGGCTTGCGCTGCCTCAGTGGTCACTTCGTGACTTCCCCTTGCCACTTCATGACCTTCCCCTTGCCACTTCGTGGTGACCATCCAAACATGAATTCTTGTATAATATATGCCACATCTAGATGTTGCATTCACCACGTAGTGATACATAGATTTTCCCAAAAATATGATCTCTGATCCCACCAAGCCCTCACCAGATCCACTCTGGGAACAGGTGTTACTATTCTCCCCCACATAAATTAGATTCCGTCCTTGAGGTCTACCCTTGCGAATTTTCTCTTAAGAACATCCTCGATTCCTTTGTTGGTTTTCCAAGCCCATTCCCTTATGCGCGAGCCGACACAACCCAACATACCAAAACCTACAACAATCATTACATAGATTTCAGAACCAGGTGCATAAGCCATTCCCAAGTGCAACTCCCGAATAGTTGATGTCCCGACCATTGTAGCACTGAAACCATACCCCAAACAATGAAACCATACCCCAAACAAACATATCCTCATTGGAATGGAAATTGAATTAATCCTCAGCAAGAAGTGTGCGGCTCGAAGAAGAAACGATCACAATCACACTGCAACTAATCAACCTCATGAGGCACTTACCTTTAATCACAAACTGAAGACTTCCAGATCATACCTGATTTCCATGAAATCAAGTCCACTCCACACATCGACTATGCTAACCCAATGTTCGCAAAGTCAATCCGCCGAAGGTTTTCCCCGGCCTCGCGCTGTCTCACTAAAAACTGGGTACATAATCCATAATCAACTGTCGATGATGATGACCTTGCATACAAATTCCAGTGCGGAATATTAAACAACAAAGGCTAAATAGCCTACACTTCCCCTAGGTTCTAAAAGTACTTTATCAAAGCCAAAATAATTGCGGTGTAGATCAACCCATCCTAAAGTTTTATATATCATGAATGAGATCCTCAAATACACACCTATATTCTTGACAAGTTGTAACTAACCAACTGCTCCTACAAACGCAACCATGCGCAACACCAAAACTCGTGTGACACTCAAGTTCCTAAAACAACATATGTACACATTCATATGTCAGAACACCCAAGAGTCTTATAACCACCCGCAACATCGAACTCCTATTACTCTAACCAGTGCACTACTACCACTATGTCAATTTAACTATTATGGGTCATCATCGACCTTGGGACTATCAGCAGTCCTGAAGTTACCAACAACTCTAAAAATACTCATAACAGCCACCAGCTGCTAAGACTCAACTAGTCTAGTATACGCACCACCCTGTCATAGGTAATATAGGGAAAGAAATCATAGGAAACCTCATCAAAAAATGAACACGAGTCCACTAAGAATAATCCCAATAATAACTGCTAATATACAACCTTGACCTTTCCATCAAGTTAACATCTTATCACTACCCGATTCAACTTGCCGGTCACTGGGCCCCTAGTGACAACACTATACTCCTCAAACATCCATCCATGACATACGCCAAATAGAACAATATATTGGTCTCCATTATACAACTTCCAAACCACTCCCGTTGGAGAAATCCACGATGGCTCACGACACGCCCTGACGTCAACCAACTATTAGGATGAGGAGCTCACGATTCCTCACCAATCTTTCCATCTCCCAACCACATACATGAGAACTCCCGACCAGAATCCATGGCTCTAAAGGTACACTACCATCATCCCACTGACCGGTAGCAACCCAGTCAACATCCCAGTCAACACTTCACTGAAATTCAAGATCCATACGATTTTGTAACACACAACTTCCCCACAATCCATTGCAATTGATACATTATTAAACGAAGTAGACAAATGAAATACAAGATCCATGGCCGCACACAACCAGAAACAAGATAGACAATTGAACACTCGTTCCAACTTAAAAACACAATATTTCACACTCTCTAGGAGAAAACCAAATGCTCGTCAGGCCGACAATGTTCCTTCTTAATCGTAACCTTACCCAAAAGGTGACGTACCAACAACACGAACAGAATAACGAACCTCAACTGGTACACATTCTACTAACAACCACAACAAGATCCAACACCTTGATAAAGCTAAACAGGTCCCACCAATGCATAAAAGATTGATAAAACATTAAATTTCAGAAAGGGTTCCAAAATTAACTTGAAATTTTGCCAAAACCCTGATTGAATCAATCATAATACCAACCCAATTGCATTTAAGAGTTGAGGCACTATATTCTTGTATTGCAACAAAAAGTTGTGAAGAGTTGTTGCTGCTTGCAATGCTTCTTTCCGAGTGACCGGTTCCAAAGGTACTAAATCATCATCAACCGAATTTTGAACGGTATCCGCGATAATTTCTTCAATACTTTGAACCTCCTAACATTCATTATTTTCATCTGGATAATCCATAAACTCATTCACATCCATTTTGTGTCGATAATGTATTCCCGTCATCAAGTTCTCAAGCTCACAAATGTCTTCTCCAGAATTTACATAGAAATTTTGAAGGTCGATGCATTAATTTGAGAGTTGCTCACAAATATAAGCCAACTCTTTAAATTAATAATTTTTTAATTTAGCGATATAATAATATCTTGCTAAATTAATAAAATATCTCAGTCCCAACATTATTAATTTATAGAGGTTTTACCGTACAATGATGATATACATGGTTAAAGCTAACTTTCATGATAACATCACAGCGCTAAAGAAGCAACTTGTACGCATACAAGCTCTTGTTGGTTGGATCGAACTGCCTATTGACATCCTCTCCCTTGACAGTGAAGTTGTGGTCTTATAAAAATTAAAAAATATTTTTAATAAAAAAGCAGGTAAATTTTTTTAGCCATTTAAAATGCAACTAGAAATGCAGGCACTTTTTCTATCAGAAAATGATAATTTCAATTATGCAAGCACTCAAACAAAAGCTTGAGCAATTAAGAATCATATCTAATCAATTTGTACGTAGTACACCCATCCTTTAAAGTAAGATAAGCTTACGAAAGCAGATAATGGTTTCTCTGTTCAATCAGCGCAAATAGATGGGTGGGTGACATATGCATCAAAAAATGGCCACCTGGACGTCCACAGTAGTTAAGGGAAACCAATCCCCATAATGAGCAGCCATTATGAACAAATGTTGCTTTGTTTAACTCTATGCTTGACGACAACGGGAGTAGTAAAGCACCAAATATATATAAATTATAATAAGGTGAACTTTGACCAATTGAAGTAATCCTCCAAATATCTAGCAGCTATTGTCAAATCGCCCACAGTTAAATAGATTGAAAAATTATTGAAATTAATAAGCTAAGTAATCATATGATTGAGGGAAATTATGAAAAATACATGATTTTACAATTAAAATTTAATAATTTAAAACAGAACAGAACCAAAATTGTGGAAGTTTAATATTGGGAGTCAAAACAACAAACTTGGCTCCGACTAGTGGGGCAAACCGCCAACGACATTTGCCAGAGTGGCGAGATTTACATTATACAAGCAACAAGTTTAAATTTCGAATTTACTTGGCATTCAAATTTAATTTGTTCGAAACTCTGGTATTTAAAGAAATAAGGAATGTTGCATGCTATCTTAAAGAACTCGTGGTCCCACCATGCTCAGCCTTTGCTGTCTATATAAAGGGATCAGTCTACCATCTCTTAAGCACCACTAACAAGAGAGATATAGTGAGAAAGGTAGCATTTCCTTAAACTACACCTGGTTTTTGAGGAGGAAGAGGACAGATACTTGTATTTTTTTTGGGCAGCAAGACAAATCATTTAATTAGTCCACATATACTTGTACTAGTTATTAGTTAAGGAAGATGACAGGGAACATGGCTCACCTCACTCTTGCATTTGGACTTCTTGGTATATAGCCCTTTCAATTGCTCTCTTCACTCTGTGTTTCCCTCTCCTCCCTTCGCATCTATATTTTCGTTGACGATTCTGCTGCTAACAATTTGCTTTCTTATATTTGCAGGTAATATCGTCTCATTTATGGTATTTCTTGCACCAATGTAAGTCTCCGACGTTTTCTCTAATATGTTTTTCACCTCTCCTCCCCTTCCTTCTATACAACCAACTGTTCATGAAATAAATTTCAACAAAAATGCAGACCAACATTTTATAAAGTTTACAAAAAGAAATCAACCGAAGGGTTTCAGTCGGCGCCATATGTTGTGGGCTTATTCAGTGCGATGCTTTGGATATACTATGCATTACTCAAGTCCAATGTCATGCTTCTCATCACCATTAACTCGGTTGGTTGCATCATCGAGACCTTGTACATTTGTTTCTTTCTCTTCTATGCACCAAAGAAGGCTCGGGTATTTGCTAATCTTTACTTCACCATGAAACATAATGATTGCAGTTATGATCATCAAGGAAGTTTAAATTAACAAACTAAAACTTGGTTATGCAGATGGAGAGTCTGAAGCTAATCTTATTGCTAATAGTTGTTGGTTTCGGATTGGTTGTTGTTCTCACCCAGTTCCTTGCTAGTGGAGTTACTCGTGGCGTGATAGTTGGATGGATTTGCCTTGTGTTTTCTTTATGTGTTTTTGTAGCACCTTTGGGAGTTCTGGTACGTCTATACACATACATATAAAATTTTATTAACCTTGTCATAGATGAATCTTTTCTTTTTACATTTCACATGGTGAAATTTCTTAATATGTATGATATCAATATTATTTTTCAGCGACAAGTGATTAAAACAAAAAGCATAGAGTATATGCCAATTCTATTATCAGTAGCCCTCACCCTTAGCGCTGTTATGTGGTTCTTTTATGGCCTTCTTCTCGGTGACTTTAATATTGCGGTATTACTATACAACTCTACAAACAATTCCATGGCCTCTTCTATGTCCCTATCTTTAACAAAGTTAGCTATCTTTTATCCAACGAGTGTCTTAATACCATCTTTTACAGATTCCAAATGTACTTGGATTCACGTTTGGTATAATTCAAATGATATTATACTATGTATACAAAAACAAAAGCCCGATTATCAGTGAAAAAATGTGTAATTGTGAAGACAAAGTCGCAGATCAAAAACTCCCAGAATTTAGAGATCAGAAAATCATTGATGTTGTAAAGCTGAAAACTTTGTTGAATGTTGACATACGTCCGGTGTTCCCACAAAATACTCATAACACTAAGTTTGTGGCTTCTAAACATCAAGCTCTCCATGATGTGAGAAATTGCACAATTGAAGTTGGAGCATGAAACGTACACTTGAATTTTGATGAAGAGGAAAACCAAATTAACTAGGTCGATCACATCTTCTTAGATAAAGTGGTTGACATGGTATATGTGAAATATAAATCTGTCATGATAGTTTTATGAAAGGCAAGAAAGGATACCTTTATGGAAGGGAATAATTTCTCTTTTAGGAAGAATTGAAAGGAATGGTAGTCTTTCTTTCTAATTGGAGTGATAGCTTTATGGAAGGATAATTTTCTTTTTGAATAAAGAACTGTTTTATATTTTCTTAGATATTAGTTATGTTTCAAGGATATAAGGAGATATATCTTGATTTATCTTGCAATTAAATAATGGTAGTGTAACGTGTCTTAACAATTTAATATTATAACTTTTAGGCTATAGATAGAAGTAGTTTCCAAGAATTTTATGTAATCTCAACTGTAACCTTTTTTTTTTCATTCCTAGTGAAGACTAGAAAACTTGTAGCATTCCCTTTTCTAATTTATTTCTCCGTGTTCCATAACAATAAAGCTCATAACTTAATTAAACACTTAATTTACCTTCAATAATCAGCATACATTTGATCGTATTAATTTCCAACAAGTGATATCAAATATTGGTAATTTGTATGCAAATAATGGCTGCCATTGAAGGAGACGGTGTTCAAATATCCGAGTAGAAAGGTAGTGTTACGTTATATTATCCGATGCTTAGGAGTCGTTGTGAACTATAAAAATGAGAGTGGATTTTCAAGCATAAGGTGTGTGGAATGCCATTTAAAGCACAAAAGTGGAAGAACAGAAGGATTAGATGGCTCTTTCGGCTATTTATCAAGCGATTCTCGAGGACGTGCTATAATGTTAGCCAAGAAGGACATTGATAAATAAGTATGAGAAATGCTTAAGATGATGCACATGAGAGCCGATCAGGTAAATGAGGCTATAATACAAGGGAAAATGACTCAGGGTTGTAACCAACTACTGTTTTGTTTATTTTTTTTGTTTATTATTTTTTTTACATTTGGTCTGTGTCCTTTTTTTGTACATAATATATCATCTAACTTATTGTTTGTGTTCATCATAAACTTTTTGATAAGCTATCATAGGTGATAGTCGGTCAAAAGGGTTAGGGTGAACACAAACAACAAGTTGGATGGTATATTGAATACAAAAAAGGCACCAAATGTGAACAAAAATAATAGTTGGTTACCCTCATAAGTCATTTTCCCTTTTATTATTTCCTCATGTATATATTTTTTTTAATAGTTAGAAAAAATTTCATAAATGGTCTCTGTGGTTTTAAAAAAATATCAAGTTCACGATAACCTTTCATTAAGTTACACCGGTGCTCTATATGGTTTCTAAATGTTACATAGTTGGTCTTTCCGCCATTAAATCTAATTTTTGACTTGTTAAATGTTTATGAATGACCAATTTACCCTTGTGTTAAATATGAAATTGTAATATACCAAATCAAACATGTATATAGTTTACTTCAAATATTTATATTTAACTGCTCCTGGTGACTTTGACGTTCTTCTACTTCTTCTAGAAATGGCTTAAAAGTAAGTTGCTCATAATGTTATGCTTATTATATCAACATACGTTTAGGCTTCAGTTGCATCTTATCACTTCTTTGTAAAAATAACTTATTCGTAATATTATGCTTATTAACAAAAAAAGCTAGACCATCATTTCTGATTATAAAGATTCCACAATTATAAACAATACCAAGGGTGAACAAGTTATCCCTCAAGAGTAATGATCAATTATGAGCAACCTAGTGACAATATCGAAACCAAGAACAAATAGTGTTGAACACTCAGGAGGGTAGTCAACTGTTGATTTTGTTCAGATTTGGTCATTTTCCATTTTTTTACGCAATATACCATCGAACTTATTGTTTCTATTCGGCATATCCCCTTTGATCGACTATCACATGTGATAGCCGGTTAAAAGGGTTATGGTGAAGACAAACAACATGTTTGATGGTACATTGCATACAAAAAAATGAAAATGGCCAAATATGAACAAAATCAACAGTTGATTACCCTTTTGATTAATTTTCCCATAGTACAAACATTGAGAAGTGACCTCAAGGTGATTCGAATGAAAGACGGTGAATCAGTGGATGCTTTTTTCGTGATACTAATTAAAAACCATTGTGACCGGTATTGACTTCTAGGTGAAAAAATTAAGGAGACAATGGTGGTGAAGCATTTTATTTCAGCTATCTCTTACCTTATATGCAAATGGTAACATGTATCCAAATTTTGGAGATTTAAAAATTATGGATGTGGGAGAGCTTGTGGGTAGACCGATATAATGAGTTTCAGATGGTCAATAATAAGTCTCTGATGATTATCGGTGACTGGTTTAACTACTCCTAGATGCCTAGTTGTAGATAGTTTTTTATGTATATAGGACATAAATTAGTACCTATTACATCAAAGTATCTGAGATCAAAAATTAATCTTTGTTTCTATCTCGAATGGTGGCAAAAATATATAACCGTATCCGATAGACACCCAGGTACCCAAATCCAAATTAACTAGGGACAAGGGATCCCTGAATAGGGAAACCGTCCAATAGTAAAAAGATTTTTAAAAGCATTTTCAAATAATACAATGTTTTAGAAAAAACTAGAATTGAAAAAATGATACTGTAGTAAATATAAGAGGAAAACAATCAATGATAGTCTCTTTTGAAGCATTAATTTTCGCTTATTCCATGAACATGATGGTCAAATTAATGAAGAGTGTGATGTGAACCACGTTATAGCGTACATGTGTCTTAGCTCAAGTCTGCTTTCTTTCTGTTTTTTCATATGGCTAATAATTGTGTCTGAGATTTGTTAATGGCATACCGCATATAAGATAACATATAGGCATCCACATTTGAACTGATATACATTAGATGATTGTTGAATCTCGGTTGGTCATGTTTTTTTTTTTTTTTCTCTTTTTTTTTCCTATATTTCATCACCCTCAAAGAGGCTAGTTATCTGTTAGAAATGGGGACTTATCATCAAATCTGGAATTTTAAAGACCGAATATTTTTATTCTGGAGCAGATCTCAAGATCTTGGGCCAATTTCTTTTACTTTTTTTTTTGTGTTTTTCAGTCGCGTTTGGCGTTTTATATGTTTAGGTCAAATCTTGTCGTTTATATACTTATGAACAACCATATTTCTAACATGGCAACAGAAAAGTGTATGTGGAATAAAATCACTCACTCTCTCTCTCTCTCTCTCTCCTCTCTCTCTCTCTCTCCTCTCCTCTCTCTCTCTCTCTCTCTCTCTCTCTCTCTCTCTCTCTCTCTCTCTCTCTCTCTCTCTCTCTCTCTCTCTCTGGTTCGACAGTGGATGTAGCCTATCGCAAGATAGTGTGAACCACTTAAATCCTTCTGTGTGCTTTGATTTCGTTTTTGATTTCTCGTATTTCTCAGATCTGTTTTTCGTTTTTTGGTTGTTCTTTACCAAACAATTAGTATCAGAACTACAGCTGAAGACGGGAAGGTGAAGATCGATAAATTTGAAGGCCATGATTTTAAATTTTGGATTATGGAAGATGCAGATTGAGGATTGCTTATATCAGAAGAAATTACACTTACTATTATCTGAACAAAAACCTGAGAAGATGGATATCGCAGAATGGAACTTACTCGACCAACAAGCCCTTGGCGTTGTCAGACTATCACTGGAGAAAATGTCACGTACAACATTGTCAACGAGAAGACCATATTTGGATTGATAAAAACGTTGTCCAACATGTATTAAAATCCATGTGCAGAAAACAAGTTTTACTTGATCAGACAATTGGTAAGCATGAAGATGAAGTAAGTAGATTATGTTACAGACCACGTCAAAGAGTTTAACTGAAGAATATCTAGGTTACTATCTATTGAAATTAAATTCGAAGACGAAGTCCATGCTTTATTATTATCTTCGCTGCTCGAAAGTTGGGCTGGAAGTGTTAGTGTAGTCATCAGTTCTTCAGGAGTGGTGGGATGTCAAGTCCACCAAGCAAATTACACCCTTTTGTTTGCAAATAAAACGTAATATAATGGTAAAAAGGGGTATCGATCCTCGGGGAAATGGTTGTATTCAATCACCAATGCAATCCAATAGAACTAGTGAAAATAAACTAACTAACTACAATTAAACTAAAAGGGGGGTGTTATGATTGCTTGAAAACTAAAAGACTTGAATAACTAAAAACTTGCAATTAAGCAAGAAAGTGAGATGCTCAAATATCGGAGAGAATTAGTAAACCAAGGCAATTCAACACAATGAACATTTGTGTGTTTATCATTAGGATTTAACATGAAGCTTATCATTCACCCCAAATTGGTTATAGCAATCATGAAGCATGATATGCCAAGATTTCCCATAGGTAGTATGGAGGTTGGGGAAGCCCACAACACACCTTCTTAATCAAAATTAAAGATCCAATTGAAGCAATTGAACCCAAGAAGTTGATTAGCCTTAAGAATGAAGAAATCCCCAATTCCTAGAGGATGTCAATGCTTACACATCCATAAAGGAGTTATGATTCATAAGCTAGAGATGATTTCTACCATCATAAAGCCCTTGTTCTAAGTAAATTCAATGATTCAATGCCAAACCAAAGAAATAAACCAACAATTGCTTATTAAAGTACCAAGCTCATGATCAAAGCACTAAACAAGCATTGGAAATATGAACTAGAATCATAGACATAAGATAAATGATAAATAAGCATAAATCCTTCAAAAACCCACAAACATTCAGAGGTTTTAGCCAAGGTCTACTAAAATAAAGAGTTTATCCACTCATGGCAATAGAACAACAATCACAAAAGTCTAATTGCATAAAGAAACTACCTAAGACTTGGAAAGTTGAAAGGAAATGGGTTTCTAGCTCCAAAATCGCCTCTTGCAGGTCTCCAATGGTGTAAAATCGAAGTTATGGCTGCTAGATCTGATCCCCCAAGGTAATGGCAAGCCAAATGACCAAAATGCCAAAACTGGGCAGTTGCGCGGGTACCCGCGCGACGAAAATTCCACCCGCGCAAATGTTGCTGTAATGCTATTGGTCCTTCATTCCACCACTCCACCCTTCCACTACCAAAGATTCCTTTGGTCCCCTCCATATCCATGTGATTCAAATCAGCCAATCATCTTTTATCTTCAAATGTGGATGCTCCAAACCCAAAATTGATTATCCTTGATCCATCTTCACAAGCCCACTTCATCCAAGCCTTTATCTTTTTAGGCCCAAATCTCCTTTGGTGGATCCGCCAACCCCAATAGCGCCTCGAGAGCCCACAAGTCCGTCTTCACTCTAATCCACAATCACGATAAGCTCCAAAACCCTGCAAAATTCCTC